GACAGACAGACACACACACACACACTCGATCAGAGGCTCTCTGTTCTGTCCGAGAGCCGGCGGTTTCTGTGTCTGGTTTTTGGGTCCGGGGCCCTTTGGTAGTGGATCTGGTGACATTGTGGTGGCATCTGCTATAGATGTGTTATCTATGTGTCCGTCCTCCAGTCAACCACGCAACAGTCATGACATTAGAACTGATATATTTTGCATAAAGAACATGAAGCCTAGTTTTAGGATCAGTATTGTGATGATATCTTATTGACTATAATTTATAATAATAGCATATTTCCCCTTTAAATTTTAATTATTGTGATGCAAACAAAAAAGACATCAAATACATCACAGCAGCATTTGTTTTACTTCATTTAATTAATGCTGGATCATTTTAATTGAATTTTATTTTATTAAAAATTTAATTTAATTATATTCATTGTATCTGGACAGGATGATTTTTCATTACAATACTAGAATCTTCAAAATCCTAAAAATGCCTTAAAAATATTTTTATGTATTTATTTTTTAAATAATTTTTAATATTTATTTTAATTGTAAAAATGCTTGTTTTCATATAAGGCTCAAAGTCCTGGCCTACATTATTTCCACAGCAGCATTTGTTGTACTGAATTTAATTAATGCAGAATTAATTTAATTTAATTTAATTTAATTTAGTCATTGTTTCTAGACAGGATGATTTTAATTACAGTATTACAGTCTTAAAAATCTTTAAAAGGCCCTAAAAAATAAATAAAGAAACAAACAAACTTTAACGTGAAACATGAAATCCAAATGGACTCTATTTATTATCTTAACAAATTATGTTTTTTTTATTATTTATTATTATAATTTTTATTGATTATTTTAATTAATTTAATATTTTAAAATATTTATTTAAATAAAAAAAAACATTGCATCTGGTGACATTCATCAGAGAACATTATTCTGAAGTAAAACATAAATAAATAAATAAATAACAATTATTGTTTTCATAAAAGTCCTGGCCTACATTATTTCAACAGCAGTTTTTGTTGTACTAAATTTAATTAATGCATAATTTTGTTTTATTTTAATTATTTTAATCATTGTATCTGATTGTATTACATGATTGTATAACAATCATAAAAATCCTGAAAAAAGGCTCTAATAAATAAATGAATAAATAAATACTCATATATTTACAGCAAAAAATCCAGGCACACACACACACACACACTCCTCATTAAAAGGGCTCATATCATGTATTTATCTTTTTATTTTTTCCCTGAGGTTCACTTATAATGTTAGCCAAGTTTCAAGTTTCAAGTCAAGTTTCTAATTATTGCTTTACAACTAAACAGGCTGTTTTCTGCTGCTGTGCCTTTAAGAAATGTGTAACAGTACTTCGCTGTCGTTCGATCTGCTTTCATAAAGCAATCAGCGCTGAAATGTGCTGCTCAAACGGTTCAGATCAGACTGAGATTATAAGAAACTAAACTTGATGCTTTCTAATGTTGTGATCGTCAGCAGGATCTGCAGAGCTGTAGGTGCTACACAGACACAAACACACACCGTGTTTCACTAGTTCTCCTGCTGTTTAGAGATAACAGCATCGGTCCTAGTTCCTCCTCATTACCTCATCGAGAGGATGAGACGTTTCTGAACAAACAGAAGCAGTCGTATACAGGCCTGAACGCTTGAAGCAAGCACGAATGTGTCGGGCTGTAATTATCATGGCGTCAGAGACGTGACATCTGCCCTCAAATTAGGAGAACATGTCAAGCTTGCCAAACGCACACAGACTGAGACAGACTCACTGAAGTGCTGTCAAATATTCGCCGCAGAGGAAACATACAGCAGCGTCTCACGGTACGATCCTCAGGTTAACACGACTCAATAGAGCAAGAGCTCAGCAAGCCATGAATTAACTTTATTTCATGAAATAAAAATAATATTATATTATATTATATTACCTTATATTATATTATATTACATTATATTATATTATATTATATTATATATTTTTTGCGTAAAGAAAATAAAACCTATTTTTATGACCAATACGATTTTTTTTTAATTAATTTGTGCTGATTTATTTATTTTATCAGGCATCAGCGATGAATTAATTTTATTTCATGAAATAAAAAAATATTATATTATATTATATTATATATTTTTTGCGTAAAGAAAATAAAACCTATTTTTATGACCAATACGATTTTTTTTTAATTAATTTGTGCTGATTTATTTATTTTATCAGGCATCAGCGATGAATTAATTTTATTTCATGAAATAAAAAAATATTATATTATATTATATTATATATTTTTTGCGTAAAGAAAATAAAACCTATTTTTATGACCAATACGATTTTTTTTTAATTAATTTGTGCTGATTTATTTATTTTATCAGGCATCAGCGATGAATTAATTTTATTTCATGAAATAAAAAAATATTATATTATATTATATTATATATTTTTTGCGTAAAGAAAATAAAACCTATTTTTATGACCAATACGATTTTTTTTTAATTAATTTGTGCTGATTTATTTATTTTATCAGGCATCAGCGATGAATTAATTTTATTTCATGAAATAAAAAAATATTATATTATATTATATTATATATTTTTTGCGTAAAGAAAATAAAACCTATTTTTATGACCAATACGATTTTTTTTTAATTAATTTGTGCTGATTTATTTATTTTATCAGGCATCAGCGATGAATTAATTTTATTTCATGAAATAAAAAAATATTATATTATATTATATTATATATTTTTTGCGTAAAGAAAATAAAACCTATTTTTATGACCAATACGATTTTTTTTTAATTAATTTGTGCTGATTTATTTATTTTATCAGGCATCAGCGATGAATTAATTTTATTTCATGAAATAAAAAAATATTATATTATATTATATTATATATTTTTTGCGTAAAGAAAATAAAACCTATTTTTATGACCAATACGATTTTTTTTTAATTAATTTGTGCTGATTTATTTCTTTTATCAGGCATCAGCAATGAATTAATTTTATTTCATGAAATAAAAAAAAGATTATATTATTATATTATATTATAAATATTATATATTTTGCATAAAGAAAATAAAAGCTATTTTTAGGACCAATACGATTTTCTTTTTATTAATTTGTGCTGATTTATTTATTAAAATTAAAGCTTTTCTATATCTTTACTATAGTTTTGATCAAATAAATCAAAATTACTGAGATTACTGAGCAGAAGAGACTTCAGTAAAAACATGAATCATAAGTGAGCAGGTGAATATTACATAACTGTCAGTGTGAAGGAGCTGTGAGCTCTGATGTTGCTCCAGATGATCAGTACAGTATATAAAACACAAGCAAAGACTGCAGACACATTCCTGGCTGTTTGAGAACCATATGATAATGTAAACCAGGCCGAGCAAAAACCTCATCCTGCAGAGGAAGGAAAACACATACAATTACAATGAGTGCTTCTTCTCTGACCTTCACAAACGAACAGACGCTTTCACAGCCGTGAGAAAAGTGTGGGAGAGAGAAATCCTGTCGCCCCTTGTGTGCTTTAAAGGGGTCCTATTATGCTTTTTCACTTTTTCAACTTTAGTTAGTCTGTAATGTTGCTGTTTGAGCATAAAAAAGATCTGCAAAGTTACAAAGCTCGAA